AAAAAAAAAAAAAAAGAAAAAAAAAAAAAAAAAAATGAATGCAGTATATATTATGTTTTAAATAAATTAGTGACAAAAAAAATATATCACTCCTTAGATAAAGAGCAAAGAGACTGTAGAAAGTCAACTAACTTGAATTACTATACAGGTGATACAACGGTCGCTCAACAGTATAATAATAATAAGCTGATAATTAGTTACATCACATTTTAAAATATTTAGGAGAGGAAAATAAAGTTAAACTATTTTTTAATATTCAGAGATTACAATTATAAATATTAAATGCTAAACATTTAATTGCTAACAATTATTCTTTGTCTAAGAATAATTGAAGAATAACTGAACACACGCTCCAGTAGAATGTGTTGAGTTAATTTTTTTTTTTAATTGAAAAAATTTAGATATGTAATTTATTAAACATTTATTTATTATTTTCAAAACATAAAAAAAATATCTAAATAATGTTTTTTCCTGTGATAATCAATCCAGTATTAAAGAGGGTCTGGATGAAAACATCATTTGCTGATTATTGTTGTGGCATTAGAATATCATAAATTAGTTTTGTAGGGCATTTTAGGTGCAGTCAGACAATATTTTGAATTAAGTTTATGAGTGGCATTGATCAAAGGAAAGCCATGTAAAATGTGTTCACTTAATTATTACTACTAACAATATATGACTTTGATACTAGTAAGAGTATATAATAGGCAAAAAAAAAAAAAAGAAAGGTTTTAGCACTTCTCGAGCAAAATGCTTAGCTACACCATCGATTATGCCACATAACAAATGATACCATATATCGATATGTCTTAAGGATTTTAAATAGTATTCATGTAGTAATGTTTGGGCCCTTAGTATGGGCTTACTAATTGCTTAGGGAGAACACCAGATGGTAACCTACTAGCTGAGCCAAGTAATAAATAGCATTTGTTGGCAGAGGCTAGAGTATTTTGAAATTATGTCGAGGTTCAAATTACAAAAAACAAAATGGTCTATGTATAATATACTAATTTAATTATTTTATTCTTTTACATAGACAAATATAAAAATAAAGGCAGAAAAGTGCCTTATTATTATATTACAAAAGTCAGATAAAATGAAAAAAAAATCAACGTGTTAATGGGAGGTTACTTATAGTGTTGATGTTCATTGATGTTTCCAGACGTGCTGGCTTACCACTAGCCATGAATGACTACTCAGCCCATTATGTTGATGTTCTACATCAAGGTGGTAATCTCAACATTTGTTTTAATAAAAAAATGGAGTACAAAAAAAATAATTCAGTTACAAACCAAAAATAAACGTGGTTTTACACCATGTTAATCATAAACAATAAAACAACATTTTTTTTATGTCTTTTAACCTTGGTAATTTAGTGGAGAAAGAATATTCACATAATCATGTAGTAGCCTGTGTTGATGGTGCTGGTGGCAACTGGTTCATTGGGAGTTACAAATATATTGGTGATGCACTATGTGTGGTCAGCTGTCACAACAAACCGGATACTGACCACCAGACCGGTTGACTGGTATAGATATTAATTTTATGATTAGGGACATACTTAATACCTACTGCAAATTTGACCGACTGATGTCAAAATAATCAATTTAAATAGTACAAATTTTGTAACAATTGGGAAGAAAAATTTCACGTATGATAATACAAAGATTAATTAATTTAACTTATAATAAATTCATTATATGATAATTATGATTAAAAATTACTTCTAAGTCATATTCGGTAGCATAACTATCACTTCTGCCTTGACGTTTAACTGCACCACTATTTGCTTCAATATAAATAACATCACCAGTTTCAACTTTTTCTTTTTGTAATGATTCATAAATTGTAGGATCAAGTTTTAATTGTTTAGTTCCTTTAGCAGTCTTAAGTCCAACAATAACATGTGAAATAGTTTTGGAATATCCTAGAATATAAGACTACTATTTTAGTAATTTAAAGTAAATTAAAGAGGTCAGCCTGGCCTAGTGGGTAGAAATGTATGTTTTGACACAAAAGGTCCCAGATTTGATTCCCAGGGTGCTAACGAGATTTTATTGTGATTTTCTCATTGGTGGTATCTGGTTCCTGGTGCAAGTGAGCCATAATATGTGTCCCGTTAATCATTGGCCTAACCAAAAGAGCCATCTTTGACTCCCTAACATGTGAAAGAGGGACACCACCTTCTGTAATATGTTATGTTCGGGAAGTAAAAGGATATAAAAATAATAATTTTTTTTTTTAGGAATTTAATATAAATTGAATAACTAAAAAGAAATCATAAGAAAATTTTTTCATTATATACCTCCTGCAGTTGAATCCGTTTCAACTGGTGTCATTTCAGTTACTTCGCCTTCATATACCTCTTTTGTTTCTTTAATTCGGAGGCCAATGGCACGACGAAAATTTTCCATTAAAACCTCAGTTTTTTTAATTTCTGAACTATAGACTTCCGAACCAACCATAGGACAAAATGGGACCTATGAAATTATATAATTGAATTATAATTACAATTATACTAGAAAAAAAATTTTCTAACTAAACTATATGATAGTATTTAAGATGATGTAATTTATATTTATATTTCATTGTTTAACCATAGTTAAAATATGGAATTAAGGATTGAGTAAAAAGGTTCTAAATTGTTAAAGAATTACTTTTATTAAACCTTTATTAAAATTGAGGGGTTCGTATTCTGAGTTGTTTTTTCAACCTTATGTACTTGAAGCACCATAAAGAATATTTTTCACAAAAAATGTATAATATAGTATACAAATATTTATTAAGTTCTATTATCTAAACACATATTATTTCATAAATTAATAAATACCCTGCTAATAATAATCTTATCAATAAATTAAAAAATTATATGTATTTTTAATATATTATTGGACTTCTTATTTCAATTATTCTAAAACTTCCAATTTTTATAAATAAAAAAAAGATAAAACTAAATTTTGTTGAGTATTTTTGTTAAAATTATTAAAATATTTGATTATTTTAATAACTAACATTACTTGTTACTTAATTACTTTTTATAAATTTTAAAATCAATTTCAACATATTTCTATAATTATATAACTAACCTTGTTTCCAAGTTCATGAGCAATTGCTAGAGCAATTGCAGTTTTGCCAGTTCCTGGTGGTCCAGCAACTAAAACAGCACGGCCAGCCATTTTTCTTGTTTTTATCATATCCACAACAATTCCAGCTGCCTAAAATTTTATAAATTCAATTTGCAATATAAAAAAGACTAAAAGGTAAAATTTATATAAAAATATTTTTAAAACCATGGTATTAGGATATAGACCCCTATTTGAGAAAAACCCATATTTTTAACAGAAAAATATTAATAAATTTTCACTTGAGGTTCTAATTTTATAATATTCACACTGTCATGTTAAAAGGACATATACCAATTTCCTTTTTTTTAAGTAGAAAAAATGTAAAAAAAATGAATTATATTTGATACTATACAAAATTTATTTTCAAAACAATTTTTTTGTTGAGATAATGTACATTCTTTCTGTTATCATGATTGAAATCTACACTAATTTTATTCTAATAATTGATTATAATATCAATATAGACATTTTAAGAAATAATTTATTTTGACATTTATTCTCATTTAACCATTATAAATATAAATACATTTCTAGTAATATTATTAGCAAAGTTAATATAAATAACTGGAATGGAACAGATTATTTAATTACTATAAGTTATTAGATTAAGTTTTATTTAGGTTTACAAACCCTTATAAATTTGATTTTCCCATTTTTGGGAATGTCATCATTTATTATACTAATATTGTATAACTTAAATAAAAAAAATTACAGGACTTAGAATAAGAATGCATGGGACAAAAATAGTTCATTAATGAAGGTTTTGGTATTTTTAATATAAATTAAATTAGAAATCGTAGTACAGAATATATTTGTAATTAAATTTGTTAAGTACCAGCATTATAGTTCTTAAATAATATTATTTTACCTGTCTTGCATCTTCTTGACCAACTAATCCTGAGGCCATTTTAATCGCTTCACCTAACTCATCGAGTCCCAAACCTTTAACATGACTGTGGCTAGATATACGTTGAGTTTTTACAGTACTCTTGACTTCTTCAATTTTCATTGTTAATTTGATCGATGAAATGAGAAAAAATATATAATATAAAATCTTATTTTAAGCTCAAAGCCAACATCAAAATTCTAAAAATATAAAATATATTGTCTTAAGTAACATTTATTTTAGTTATGATCATAAAGTTGTAAGTGAACTCAACTTCAGCGTGTTATATAGCATAATATTAAAAAACCGCAATATTTTATCTATGCGATAACTATGGAAACCAAATAATTCATTGGTAACGTAATAAAACATATATCTTACCATGGTTAAAACCACAATTTTTTATGCAGTTCATGAAATTCACAATGTGTATTTAATCTATATTGAGAATTTGAAAAGTACATTAATCCACCGTTAGGTTCTAATTCTAAACATATAATTAATATATCATTAATTGACAACTGTAAAAAATAAATATAAAGTTCGTAGTAATAATATTTTTAAAGAAGTAATGCCTAAGTCGTATTTACATAATTAAAATGAAAAATTGAACTCTTATAAATAATTTAGCTATGTTGTATAGCGTTCTTAAAATAAAAGAATTGAAAAATAGAAAAAGTAAGTTTCAAATACAATAATCCTATGGTAGTTTACAAATGACAGTTTAGGATTTAGGCATAAAAAATATGATTCGAATCTTAAATAAAAGAATTTTACTTTTTATAATTAAAATATGTGAAAAGCTAAATAGTCAATTGTTTGCTCATAGTAAGTTAATTTTGAATTGATGATAAACAATTTTAATTGTAAGATTAGTACCACATTTATTATTTTCTATTTATATAAGTTATTCTTGATTTTTCGACATGCAACCATTATATTTTAAAATGTCTTTATGTGTGAATTTCTTATGTAGGTATGTCTAATCTTGAATTTTCCACTGCATCAAAAAAAATAACTTCTCTTACTCCTTGTCGAAGAATGGGTCTCAAACGAAAATCATTGGGTTCACCATTGCATTCTAGTTTAAAAAAAAAAATCAAGCCATCTAATGAGTTTTTGGAAAAAACAGCATCAACTAAGAACAAATATGATATATGTATGATAGATGGAAAATTGCAAATACAAAGTAGAATAACTTATAAACAGAAAAAAATTGAAGAGCTAAATTATGAGATAAAAAATAGTAAACAGGTTATTGAATTAATTATAATTACTCTTATTTTTAAATTATTATCTATGTATTTATTGAAGTAGAGTAATTGTAAAACTGTTTGATATTTTGAACCAAATAAACAAATGTGGATTTGAATTTCAATATTATATGATTCGACACATTCTCATTTACGTAACAAATTATTTCAATAATTTTTAATTTATTAAAATATTAGGAAATTAAAAAAAAAATGTCCAACATTTATTATTGATTTGTTAATTTTCTTCTCAATTCCTTAAAGTAGACAAAATTTATTATTTTTTTTTTTTTTTTACAAAATTAAAGATAATTATTATAAAAACTTTTATAGATATTACTCAAGATCAATCTCAGTGAACTATTTACTGTTTAGTATCATTCCAATTTGATATTTAATTAAGTAGTATTATTTTGTACATACACTTGAAACACTGAAAATATTCACATTATTTAGCTATGAAAAATATTTGATAATGAAGATATATTGTCTTTTGTCAACAGCTTAATAAATTAGTTTTATAAAATTTATTTTATTGTAGCTATAAAACATTGACTTTAAGCTTTATAAATATAATGACATTCATTAATAAAGTTGACACAAGTAATTAATTTTCATTTGTCTGATTGAGAAACTAAAATATAAATAATTAAATTTACCCCGAGTTCAAAGAGCAAATTTATATACCTGAGTCAGATTTTAAATAAAATCTAAAAGCTTTTATAAATATAATAAGAAATAATTGTTTAATGTTATTTTAAGTTTATATTAGAATAAGATTTAAATATGAAAATTGATAATAAAAAATATAAAGTTTGCTAAATTCATTTATATGTCCAACTTATCCTTGTAGGGTAACCCTAGTAAATCAAATTAGATCAAATGAAATCTTCTCAGATAATATTCACTTTTCATCCAAACACTTCCAATCCTTTTATCATTATAGATGGTGTAACATTTTAAATAATAACACATAAAGATATTTGAAAATAACTCTTTACAAACGTTTAACATATAATCCTCATATTAAAACTAAATGTACAGCGTTTAACAAAAGATATTGATAATTATTCCATCTCCTTTCATACAAAAATTATGATATACAATTAACAATATATAATATTAATAAACCTATATAGACGTATGACCTCAAAATTTGGAGTGTTGGAAAAAAACACATACTCAGTAAATTAAGAAAAATATTTAGTTACATACTAATAATCTATTAAAATTTACAATTTACTTTATCTTACTGTCAAATTTTTGTAGCATAATTTATTGCAAATACAAGATTTGTCAAAAAAATGGTTATGTGTTTGTCAAGATGCTTTGAAGTCCCTCCATCAAAAATTGATGAATAATGCTCAAACTATGGAAGATTTAATAATAAGTCTTGGAATTGATCCTAACCTTATACAATTTGATCCTCTAAGTCAAGAATTTATCTGATTAAATTTAAATTATTATTTATATGTTTATTATCATTTATTTATAAACAGTTATATTTTGTATTTAACTACTTCCTAATTATTATTTACTAATTATCCAATTTTATGATTTATAATAAAAAACTATTAAATACATTTTGTACAAATATGTAAGTTGTAGTTGAAGCCAAAAGTTAATTTGTTATGTATTATATTATTTTATTTAATCTAGTTATTTTTTTGGCCAACAGCTATATATTATTTTATCTCCACAAGAACACTGCATTAAGATTAAACTAGCCCAAAGATGCTATTAGTAAAGTTTTGGTAGAACTATTTGTAATTTTTTTTTTTCTGTGATTATTTTGGACTAAATACTATAATATTCATCTTTTATAATTTATATCTTGTTTATAAACATTGTAATAGAACTTAAATAATTTTCTACATCGAAAACTCAAAAGAAAAATTAAATATTAAAAGGATAATTTTTTTGTATACTTTCTTTTAATATTACTTTTATTTTAAATTAATAAAAAAAAAAAAAAAAAAAATGACCATTATTTTGGGGTATTTTTTAAAATGAATTCCCTGGGAATTAAACAAGATTTTTGAATAACAGAATTTACCTATTACTGTACATAACAATACACATTCTATGATAAAAATAATGATAAGGATCCTTTATCAGATGCCCGAATCTATGGAACTAGAATCCACCGTCTCGAATGTTATAGGTTGTGATTGTATGTTTTTCGTTTTTAATACTGCGTTCAAATGAATAAGTAATAAATTTGCATTTTAAGTTTAAATAACTAATCAATTAATGTTATATTTACACTATTACACCAGGGTGAAATAACAAAATTGGGAATGAATAACCCTTACTTATTGAAACAACAACTTCAAGAGAATGAAGATGAATTATCCAATTATTTACGTGACATGAAAATTTGGCAAGATAAAATGAAGAGAAAAGATTCATCGCCTATTTTGGTTAAATATTGATTATATTATTAATTTCATTTGCTAAATTTAAATAATATTCTGTTATTAGGAAAAAGACGATAAGAAATTGAAATTTAATCAATCTTGTAATTCAAATACAAAAAACAAAATTTCTTCTTGGGATTATTCTGCTTGGGAAAAGTTTGATGTGGTATTTTATTAAAAGAAATTATCAATAACCAAAATAAATGTACATAAATTGTTCAATAATTTTATAGGATAAGGCTTGTGAGGAAATAGACCATAAGAACGAAAAAGAATTACCAACAAATAGCAATGTAGACAGTATATCTAAAACTAGAAATCAGAAAAGACATTCTGAGGCTTTGTATGAAAAAGACTTGGTAATTTTAAAATTTATATATAGTCAACTTTACAGAGATCAGAGATAAATTTACTAATTTATTAAGATAAAAATACAACTTTTTATTATTTTTGTTCTACTAATATTTATTATATATATGTGCATATTTAATTTAATAAATATGTGTTAAATATTTTAGGGTAATTCATTAGTACAAAAGCAAAAGTGGTCAGAAGCTATACTAAGATATACAAGAGCAATAGAATATTATGATAAAGATCCTGTATTTTATGCAAATCGAGCACTTTGCTATCTTCAAATGAAAGAGTTAAATTAATTTTAAATTTTATATGTGAAGTTATATTTAAATTAATATTTTATATTTTTAGATTTAAAAGTGTAATAAATGATTGTTGTGCATCAATTAAGTTAGATAAAACATATGTTAAGGCTTATCAAAGAAGAAGTGCTGCATACTTGTCTTTAAATATGTACAATGAAGCAAAAGCTGATCTTCTTGAAGTTTTAAAATTAGAACCTAATAATTCACAAGCCAAACAAAGTTTTATTATTGTCAACAAAGTAAAAATATAAATAAGTTTTATAATAGAAATTAAATAGCATAAAATATTATATATAATATACTTTTATATAGAGAAAAATTATCTTTGGAGAGTAAAGTATTTTTTGATTGACGATTCATTGACTTTTCAACAATATATAAAATTATTTACTTAACTTCTTTTTATAGTTATAACAAAGAAAATCATCTAGACGTAGATCTTGAGATTCTACTCATTGTTCAATACTAGAAATAATCTTACAATCTTAATTTGTATTATTTGTAATTAGTTTATATATTAAGGAGTTTTCTTGTTTATTTGAAAAACTAGTTGATCATTTCAATTTTCTTAATGTTCTTTACTACATTTTTAGACTAATTATTATTAAGTAATTTGTCAAATATATGAAATTTTGGGTATATAATTTGATATACGTTTAAGCTCAACTATAAAGATATTTTTTTAAAGCTAAGTAGTACTGAAGTTTAAATGATTTTAGTGATTTAGTTTCTATATCATGTAGATAGTAGTGTATTCAGAGATAATTATATGGATTAAAACTAGCTATATGAATCCTATATTTTATTACAAAACTTATGAAATAATTATTTTGATATTTAATCATCCCCATTGAAAAATCCTGGGGTTGCCAAGAGTAGTAGATTAGAAAATAAATTTATGAATATTGTGAATTTATTTCATAATTTCGAAGTTATCATTCAATTTTTAAAACTTAAATCATAAGAAAAAACTTAATAGGCTTCAAATTTGTAGAAAATATTAATTTTAATTTATTGGAACTAAAAATATTGTGATAATTCTGTTCTGTGTTATTTACAAATATATTCAAAATATTATTTTCATATTGATGAATCTATTGTTTTGGTTATGAAATTTAAATGGATAATTATATAGAATTATTATTTATTGGATAATTTTTAAATATTTAATAATTAAAACTATTATGTGATTTATCTAGAAAATTTCAAAAAATACTGATTTAAAAGTTAAACCAGTGAATAGTAAAACACACTCTAGTTTATTATTTGATTCATCAGAAAAAACTATAAGTACCATGCCTCAAAATTGGCCATCTAGAGTTAATTGCAAGCAAATTAATCCTATATTTAAGCCACCTCATTTAAGATCAAAAGTAAATATTTGTAATATATATTGACATTTTTATGGATACGTCGAATAACAATAAATAAAATATAATGTATAATTTTTTCAGAAGCCATTGCTTACTCCAACAATTGAAGCTATTCAAGTAGAAAGAGATGTAGCTGATGTAAATATACTTCAAAATACATTCAATGAAGTATTTTCAGTTAATAGTACTGTATTGAATAATAATTGTACTGAACCAAAAGCAAATAAAAATGTCACACAGCCAACAAGTAAACTAAAATTACCACCATCTCCTAAAACATACATTCAGTTAAAACAAGACTGGGAATATTTGAAAACCGATACAAATTTATTATACCAATATTTAAAAGTAAATATGTATATCTATTTTATTTGAATTACTAAAAATAATTTTTAAACGATTAATGTTTAGTCATTATTTGAGTGACTGTTATTATTTTATTTTTGTTTTTATTACTTAAGCTCTGTTCTGAGTCACCTGGTTGTTGGTAATTTATCCAATAAATGTATAGCTATTTTAAGATATATTTATAATTTTAGCAAATTCCTGGAAGAAATTTACCAGAAATTGTTAAAAATTCTATGGATAATGATCTATTTGTTAATATAATACAAATACTAAAAATGGAATTCATAAAAAATGACCATGATGTAACAGATTACTTAATTGGAATAAGTGAATTGCCAAGACTACAAATGCTAATTATGTTTTGTTCTGCTGATCAATTATCTAGTAAATATTTATTAAGCTTTAATATATATATATATATTTTTTAATAAGTAATAAAAACCTAAGGGGACTTAAATTCCATGAAACCAAAACTATATATAATTTGTGTAATTTCTATTTTAATAATTTTTTTTGTATCAATACTTATGAAATTAGTTAAATAAAATGTGACATTAGCCCTCATTGTATCAAGTCACGGATTTATAGGGCGATTGATTTATCATTGACTACTAAATTTCCTAAAATAATAATCTTTTTAAATTACAATCTTTTTTTTAATGGAAACATACATATTTTACTAATTTAAACTGCAAGTTGGTACCATTACCCTTATAACCTAGCTATCATAGCTTTGCATCATTTTGTATATTTTAATGGGCAACCATTAGTTCTATAAATGTATTTCATAAAACACTACCATACTCTATTACAACATAAATCAATGCGGAGTATAAGGTTTTTAAACAATTTAAATTATTTAAATCCCAGCAATGTCTCTTAACAAAACCTACTATGTGCTTAGTTTTGCCTTATATTTATATGATTTTTAAATGAAAATTAAACTAAAGAATAACATCTTCATTTTTAATGAATTAACCTTATATGAAATTTTAAGCACTTATAAATACAACTTAATTACACTAAAAATTCTCAGAATTATTATTTTACGAGAATTTAGCAGTCAAGAACTTTAATGATCAGTACTATAACTAATAGATTGTGTAAAAAAATAATATTCTATATTTTTAGGTATTAATGAGTTATTCATTTATGCATCTAAATCAACTTCCAATGATGTATTAAACAAAATTAAAGATTTATTTGGAATATAACGTAAAAAATTGTTAATTTTTAAAATTTATAGCAGTATGTAATATATTATTTTTTGTAACTTTAATAACACAATTTTTCATTTAATAAAATAGTTTGTACATTTTCACAATAATTATTTAAATTGTAACACTGTAATTTTATTTTACTGTATAGTAAATTTTACTTAAATAGATGATGGTACATACAACAATTAAATGTATTATAATAGATACTATTTTAAGCACTCAAACAATATCAACATTAATAAAATAAAACATTTAAGTAATTATATATTTTATATTTATACTTTGAATAAAGTATGTGAACAATACAAATAAAATATATAAATATGATTTACAGATGAATGAAGTATCAATCGTACAATTTAAATTTACATTTTTTTAATTTAATTTTTAGTTTAAATCAAACTACAGTTTTAGTTTGTAATTAAATTGTTATATTTAAGGTCACTACAGAAAAATAAATTGTTTCCTCCAAATTTGTGGTTTATGATAAATAGCCAGTAGTTCTGAAAAAAAAAAAAAAAAAAAAATCTTGTATAAGATAAAAGTTGGAACATGTTATATTTAATTGAATTGATATATATCACATGTACACTGACTGCAAATGAAATATTTCTTATATAACTTGGGACTATGTTATTTATGTTAGTTGTACACTGATATTTTTATTACTCAATTTGAAAGTCTTTTGTTCAGAAAATTGTAAATTAAATAAATAAATAGGTTTAATTAATTTAAGAAAGTCATTTGTCAAGCCATATTGAAATTCCTAGGAACGCTAATAATATGAACACATTTAATACTTATAATTGGTAAATTCTTTAGGCAAAATATTAGTATTGTTCAGAATATATATATATAGTTTTCACTAATTAAGAAAACAAGTAATTTTTTAGTAGTAAATTAAAATTAATAATTATTATGACTCATCAACATTATTTGTAAAATATTAATTTTTTTTGTATTAAATTCAAACAATAAAATATATACTTCTAGCACAGCCTTAAAATACAAATTATTAACAATTTAAGCAATAATTATTGGAGTTTTATCTTTTGTAATTCATTCTATGTTTACTGGTGACCCACTATGTCTTTTGCAATATTAAAAAGTATACCAGATAAATATGTATGTTTCTATATAAAACACTAGAGATGATTAAATTTGAGGAAGATAGTACTACACTATATTTTTGTGTTAATTTAAGTGTCTAGTATAACAAAAACTTTTAAAAAGAAAAAGGTTATATTTTATCTTGAATTTTTGAAGTTACTGCATGAGACATGGTTAGCAATTCGATCCTGTGTATATATATATATTACTAATAAATCAAACATGTATGTAAAATCTTAATTAGATCAATGAATCATCCATTATTAATTCTTGTCATATATTACTGAAGAATAAAAGAATTAATATACCAATTTTGTTTCTTCAAAATTATGCGTATAAAATTCATATTTAAATTTTGTAGTGCAATAACATGTTATCTTTTTTTATATTTTCTGAAAGTGAATCATTTTTTCAGCAATTTGGTATGATTGCTGAACTTACCCATTCACTAAAATAAACCTAATACTGTAAAATAAAATTACTAGAGAAAAGTACCAAAGTAAAAAAACCTAATTTTTAATAACTCATAAACAATCTCAAAAATGGAGATATCAGGTTGTGGCATTGGATCCTTCATTTGCTTAATCAAATTATTTTGGATTATTATATAGAATTACAATAAAATGAAATAAGAAAATGTAAAAAAAAACATATTGAAAGAGATAAAAAGGAAGAAGACTTTATTATAATTTGAATTAATGATGAGACTTTTTATGGAAAGTTTAATTTTCAAAAAAACATTTAAGCATATTGACTAAAATGATAAAAAGGGTATTTGAAATATATTTTTTAATATTAATTATATAATTATCATTCCATTTCGAGGTAATATTTTAATGATTCTTAAAAAAGGACAGTGGTTTCAGAATATAATATTTATATTGTATATAATACAATTATCCTAATCAATTTTCATGATTTTAAGATAGTATGAACTTATACTAAAATTTCTACTACAATTAATATTAATAATTAAAATATGGTAGAATAGTCTTGATAAAGGATAAAATATCTTTCTTTTAACTCCCTATGTTGACTTATCTTTTTATTGTTTTTTTAAGTTTAAAATATTAGGGGAAATAAATAATACTTTGACTAATAGTTATTGTATCAAAGTACAATTTAATTATAGATTTTATAAAATTAGATAATTGGGATTCATAACATTACTTACTTAAAATTATGAGTATTGCTTTAATTAACAGAACTTGACCTTTAATAACAAACTAGAACATCGTTTTTTTTTTTATCCAAGACCATTAAATAATTATACAAGTAAATTATTGAAGGAAATATGATAATAAATAATAAATTTTAATTCTTATGAAATAATACAATTTTGACTTAATAATTACTAAGATAATTAAATTACTCAGTTAGAAACTTAAGTAGAGAATGTATTAATAATTTTAGAATAATTGAGGTGTATTTATAAATATAATTTGTAATAAATAAACATTTACCGATATTTAATCTTTCTTAGAGCCCTCTGCAATTTCTGCAGGTGCTTTATCTACATTGTCGTTTTTGTCATCTGATGAGCTCTTAGCTTCAACTTCTTCTTTACTAGCATCATCAAAATTACCAACCAGATCTGGCACTTCATCATCATCTTCTATTAATGACTTTCCAATAAGATTGTTACTGGCAAATCCACTAGCATAACGTTTCAACTGGCCAATTTCTTCATGTCCCAATTGATTTAATATACCAGGAAGTAATTCAGACATTGATTTTGTATCACCATGTCCAGTAATAGCAAATGTATTAGCAGCAAGAGAAGCCTGTGCTTTAGGGTTATTAAAATGTATCACAGTCCCATCGTCTTTTATCATGTTAACTTCCTCAATACCAGGTATTGTGTTCACAGCTAATTTCTTTAATGTACTTTGTAGTTTTTTGTCGTCTGTAGCTGCTGTCGTATGAACAACCTTCTTCTTTCTTCGAGGAGTACCTTTACCGCCTATTCTCACTTGGTCACTTAGTTTTTTCAATTTTTCTGCGTTCATAATGAATACTAGACGAAAAACTGGAGGTGAACTATTTCAACAATATGTTACGCTAACTATTTAAAGAATAAAAAATACTTATTAAAAATCTACACAAGTAAAGTTAACTATAAGTTAAACACAAAGGGAGTTCGCTTAATGCGAACATGTGACTTCAGCGCATAGAATGTGATCAACAAAATGGTAGATCCAATCACATTATGTCTCAAGAGTTACGGGTCCTTCGAAAAGCCGAACATAGTACTTTCAACAATCGGATAACCTCGGAACTATTCGCGAGGTATGTCATTAGTAACCATGGTAATCACTGATAGATAAATCATGGTTTTATGACGGTTGATGGTATTAAAACGATTTAGGGTCACTCTTATAACATAATAGCAGAAAACAAAATAGATTCTGTATCAAAGAATTTTATCTTTTTTATGGTAGAATATCTCAAACAAAGTAAATATTTTTGTCAGTTATTAATGTTGGTTAGTGTTCTGTATGATTTTACATAATAATAGATTATAAAAATTATGTCAAGATAACTTGATAAATTATAACTTATATACACTATATCCCTGTCATTATGTTTATTAGTGCAATGATATTCAGTTTTATGTCTATAATATTTTCAATTAAGAGACAAGAAACGGTTCCCAAGTGGTATTTGAAAAGTTCTTTGTTAAAATTTAACTATCATTGATTTTATTTTATACCTCTTCATATTCTAATGTAATAAATCAATTGCTATTTTAATATAATATGAATGAATTATTCAAAGAGAAAACAATTTGGAATTAAATTATTACCTAGGTATCTTAAAAGTAAAGTTTATTTTCTAATTGTAATCTTGTTAAATTAACAAAAATTGCTGTAAAATATCAACTAAGTAACATTTTAATTTTTTAATTATATTAAAAAAAAATTTAACTTCAATTAAATTAAAAATTTTTAGAGGATAATTTAAAAATAAAACTATTAATTTTGATATTTAATGTATATGGTCCATAATAAAACTACATTTAAGATGATTGAACAATTTTTATAAATCTATTTTACTTAAAATTTAAGAAAATTAATGATACAATTTCATTTTATAACTATTTTTTATAAAATTATTTAGGTCACAAATATAAATAACATTTATTAACATATTAATTTTTTTACATCTCTTATTTATTCTCTAAATATAACTAGTAATATTTTGAGTAGGAATAACACCAAATTCAGATTTTAATTTGGTAAAAATATGTGAGACAGTATTGCTAGTAGATATTGTATAAAGATTCCAACAGTGAGTCAATAAAACATCCAAAATGAATCTAGCATTTGTAGTAATAATAGTTACCTACATAAAAAAAAATATTTATATAAATATTTATGTGTAAATGATTTTAATGATGGGCTGAATCAGTAAATTTGGAAAACCTGAATATCCAATTTTTTTGTATAATTTAGTGAAGAATATTTTTTATTATTTAGTTCAAAATGTTTAACAATTACTATTATGTTTTTTTATTTATTAAATTATAATAATTATTAAATATCATTTGAACAAGTATCCCATATAAATATTAATTTCAGCAAGATAAAAAATTAACTCTTATTTAATTTAAATTTAATTAACTTTTTGGACTATTTGGTCAAATAAAATTTGTCTGATTAGTTATAAATGAAGCCTAATATGTGCATATAAATGTATTCTGGAGTTTTAGGCATATATACCAAATACCAAATTGTTTCTACATATTTGATCCATCCTTAATATAAATAGCTGTAACATGAATTTATTTGTTACAAATTAACCTACATCATTGATATAATTTTTGTTCTTTATTGAACTCTGTATGAAACTACAATGAGCAGCAAACACTTCATATAGAAGTTGATCAATTGCATTGGCTAGATCTGGTGTATAAAGAATTAAACAATCATTTAACAATAATAAATATGTGCGTGTAAATATTACAGTGTTTTGTGTTAATAATATCCAAGAATCACCTAAAAATTAATAAAAACAGTTATAGTTTAAACCACTTTTCAATTAAAATATAAAAAAATTTACCTTTTATAAAAGACTCAATATTTGAAAATCCATTATTTTTAAATTCTTCAATGAGTTTATCTCTTTGTTGTTTAGTTTTCAGATTGTAGGGTCGCCATTTTTCTTCTGAAAACCGTATTTTAAGTACTTCTAAAATTTTATCTTTAATATCATTTATTGATTTTGATAAAGGAATGCGAAGTTGACCATCAATTTGAAATTTTAAATCTATTCCGTATTCACATAACTACAATAATAAAGTTAAATTAAAATTTAGAAAAATTAAAACAAATATTAAATAAATAATTAATTACCTCGTGACTATTCATATGCAATATTTTTATGCATTCAGCTAAACTGGATAATGAAGTTTGTGGTACAAACATATGTTTATTTAAAACTATCATGAAGTCATTTACTTCTTGTGTAACCCATAAGATAAATGCTAAAAACAAAATATTATATTACACAATAATCGGGAGTGAAATTAATACATTAAGGTGATGCAAAAATGGTTTATCATCAAAATTTTCACGGTCTATCCCTTATATTTATTCTAAATATAAAAAAAACTTAATGAAAATTTGAAATCAAAAAACTTTTTTTTACTGGTCCCTCAACACGTTTTAAGTAAATTTGACACACCTATTTACAAATTTAAATCCAATACTATTATAAGAAACTATTTTGCCAAGGACAAATTAGGTGTTTAAACTCACTCTTAAATTTTATTCTATACAAAAAGTAACTTTTAATAGCTGCATTTCTTTAAAATAAACTTTTAAGATATAATTTCATGAATTTTATAAGTCATGCAGTTCCATTATGGAAAGTCTAAATGATTATTATTATAGATCATAAAATAACAAAAACTGATAATGCTAATACGTACAAGAGCATGTCAAATATAATGGTTACTGTATGAAAACACTTAGTTGTATCTTTAAAAAATATATGTTTTTGTTCCAACAGTGCCTCAAAACTAATGATGCAATAAGAATTTATGAAAACGCATTTGTATTTAGTATGAGAATTGAGAATTAATCAGACCAACCACTTATTTGAAAAAATGAGAATTTTCAAAAATAAAACAGGTTGAAGACATCAAAATTTCAAAAATGTGGCCTAACCAATCCTCAATTGACATTAAGATGAATTAAAATATGTTCTTATCACAATTTTTAATTCTTATTGCATCAGTAGTTTCATCATACTATAGGAATAAAAACAGACTATTTTTTACTAAAAACAGTTGATACCCAGACTCTTTAAGTATAAGCTCTAACTGAAATCTTAAAATTTAGATACAACTTTTAAACATGTTTGCTTAACTTCATAAATTAAAATGTCCTAAGTTTTAAATATAAACTCTAACTCAAAATAAAAACGTTTGATGGATATTGACCTAAAAATAGTCAAATCTTCCATAAAAATAAAATATGTTACCTGATGAACATTCAGGACTATAGGTAAATGCTTTATATAAGAATTCATGAGTAATTTCTATTGTAGTACCAAAAAATGCCATAGAATACTTTTTTACAAATGTTGACACTGAACCATCTCGTTTTACATACTGCAGTTGTGATTTCAACAAATTTGAGCAAACTTTTAAAAAAAGATTGCAAGCCTAATTTGTAATTAATAGTGTTCAATTATTGTCATTATTATAATTGTTTTTTATTTGAATTGCTCATAAATAAATATTTAATATTTACTTGTGATGATTTATCCAGTTCATTTAAAATCTTTACTGCTCTTCTAGCAGCTCTTAAACCACCTTTATGAGATTTATCTGGAGAAACTTGAAGTTCTTTTGTTAAAGCCAAAGTTAACGCTTGAATACGATTTTCTAATTTACTTCTAACAAATATTAATTAATATCAATAAAAATGTTAGTACAAAAAATTTGAGCAATATAAACTATAATTTTTTTTTTTTTTGAGGTATGATGACATTTTAAAAGCTTCACACCTCTCTGTTTTATACATTAACATACTTAGTTTCTTGTTCAATAGAAGTTGGAACTAAATTGCTATGATCTTTTAGATACTTTTTGGCTTTGTTAATTAATGTATTAGCATCTTCAAAATGTCGTTGAGCAATAAGTACATCTAAATCATCAGCTAAATCTACAATCCAATCAGGAATTTCTACTTCAAGTGTCTCAAGCTCAAATACTAAAAATTATCATTTTTGAAGAATTTCATTTAATATATTATGTGAAATTTTTCAATTAAAGACAGAAAAAAAAGTTGCTAACATTTAACAACATTTAATTGTTTGATATTTAAAATATATTTCTCAATTTAGGATATGTATTTTTGTGAGGTAAAATTTTTAACCACTTATTTGAGAAACAATGCAATTTTAATATCAGAATTCTGTTAAATCAACTTAAAAATATCTAATTTTGATTGATAAATTACATTTAAATTACTAAAAACTAGGTTGATAAATTACTAAAAATAAATAATTGGAAAAATTTTTTTTAAATAATTTATTAAGTATAATCTAAAATAATTTGCACAAATTAACAACTCATTCTTATAAATTTTGCGGAATACTTTTTTTCTCAAAAGGTTTATTTAGTGTTAGGAAAATAACAATATATAATTAATTTTTTAATTTTCAAATTTTATAATTCTGTTTGATAAATTTTGTATCTAGGAGGTTTAGTTAGTTTTTATATAATTTTTTTTGCTAAAATGCAAAGAATTTGTTATAAAAAAATTTCTTGGATCAAATTTTAACAAAATGCCATAGAAATTGTATTTGTGACATAACATTTCTATAGAAATTCTTAAGCATGTCAACAATGGTTTAAAAAATATGTTTTATATTAAAATTACTACTATGTAAATTGTAATTTTTTTGAAGAGTGTTTTTTTTTAAATATATTTTTAATATATATCTGTACCTATCTAAAAAATCCTAGAAAAAATTATTATAAATACAAAAATTTTTCTGGTGTATATTTTCATATTCTATACTTCAATCTATATATTTAATTAATAAACATTTTTTAATATAAAAAACTTATAAATTATAAAATATAAATATTACAGTTTTGAGTAAGTTGAATTGAATCCATTCTTTGAAGAGTTTTTTGTTCAACTGTACTTTTAACTTTACTATCAATCGAAACTTGTAATTTTTTAACAGCTTCAAATTTTGCTAACCAATCATTCTGTAAAATGATAATTTTATATTACATCAGAAAATATTCAATATATCAGAAATAATTAATTAAACACAAAATTTGTATTTTTTAGAATGAAAAAAAATATTTTGTTATATTACATTATACTAAATAGTATTAATTATAATTTTTTCAACATTTCAAAGAATAAAATAATATATTTTTAAGAATAAAATCACTTTTTTATTTAAATAATCTTTTATAAAATTGTGTAAAGAATGTACAAACCTTAAGACCTGTATTTGGAGCTTGAAATACTCGTGTATCAGGAAAAGCAAGCAACTTAAAAGAATTTTTAATATCTTTCATATTTACAACGGCTACATTCCGTAAATCATACATTGATTGAAATCTATACTTAGCTGGACCACGTCTATGGTTAAACAAAATATTAAACTAAATCAAATGTATTTATAGTTATTGGTTATTAAATTAAATAAGTACCTGCTAGACATCCAAATAGCAACAATACATATATCTGTCAAAAGATAGCAATGAATTCTTTGAATTGGTATATTTTCAATAGGATCTAATTCTAGCAAATCTCCTTCGTGTATAAATTTACGATCAGGAACATCAACTAAATTCTAAATAAAATATTGAATGTATATAAAAATAATAGGTGATTTAAAGATCAAAATATTTCATCATAAGTACCTTGCAATTGTCTATACGTTCCATAATATTTAATAGTTTTTGATATCTTTTTTCTTCTATGGTATTATCTTGTTTAATATTAGCTTCACCATTGTAAAGTTTATCTGGACTAGGTACCTTTTCACTTACTATTGACGAGCAAATTAAAGAATTAAGTAAAGATGCTTGCTCTGTCAATAAATGTGATAATTGATACATCTCTCCTTCTAAATCTACAATTTAAAAAATTTAATTAATAATAATTATTTCTAAAACTCTTTTATTGTGAAAGGGTTCTAATGTGAACTCATTTAACAAATTTACTTATTGTACGCATTGTATAGATTGTAAATACACAAATTAAATGAATATTTTTTTATTTAAAAAAAAAAAATTTCTTAAACTATAAAAATTAATACTGGCTATTTCTTTTGCTGTATCTATAAATTGTGTATAATTGTAGAAAACATTTTTCTTTAGTAATGTGTTTATTTGCTCTCCTAATCTTTCAACATTAGTTTTTTGTTGCAATAGCTCCTCAGAACCCATGCATCTTTGGGATAACTCTTTAACATCTATTGAAAGAAAAATGTGTTAAAATATTTATAAAAATTATATAAATTTAAATAAATTTCTCACATTTTTCAGGATAGAATTCTTCATAGCCGATATTTTTAATAAGTGACTCCATATTTATATACAATATGACAAAAACTATTTAAATCGTTTTCTTATTAACTATACCTTAAACGATAAACTTTGTAACATTTCGAACTCAAAATTAACTTTACTAATTGTTAACGCCAATACATGTATTAGCCTTATAATAACAAATTATTATTTTATATGCTTTTAAAAATATTCTATAAAGCTTATCTAAATCTATACACTGAAAATATTACTATAATAAAGTTTTTTTTTGATATCTCGCTATAATTCGTTTTGTCAAATTATACTTTTATTATAGCTCTAAAATTAACCACAAGAAGATTAAATAATAATTGAAGAAATTTTAGATTCGTTGCGAAATGAGTAATGACCGTGAAGTTGGCTCCCGAAATCATTATAATTGTAACCATTGATAAGATTTAGTAACATTGTTTTTATATATACATTAGGTTGCAGCAACAGTTTTTTTCAAGGGGTTTTTTTAATAATAATTTTTAATTTAATGTAATTTATAAAAATCACTATTGCATAGAAAAATATTACTCAATGCTTTATTTTGAATTTTGTTATAACTTTAAATTTATAAACATTAATATATCTTTTTAAATGTAAATTTTGTGGGCTTTTCAATGATATAAAATTTATTCACCAACGACGTGGGCAAATGACCCTACTAGGTACTTGAATATTGAATTATGCATGAATTCTTTCAATTCTAATATCATGATTGCCTCATTCATACAATGTTATTATTTATTGATAAGCAAACATAAAATACAATAATTATTAAAGATGAATAGTATACAAATCATTTTGACATTTTATATAACGTTAATATAGTGTTTTACACTTAAGATTAGGATTGATACTTCGTGTTTAATAAGACTAGGATAAAAAAAGATGACTAGTTTAATTTATTGATTTTTTTCACGGCAAATAAGACAACAATGAAGCCATTATTTAGTGTGAGGCAACTAATAGAAAAGTTTAGGAAAAAAAAGAAAAAGCTTTGTATGATATTTATAGATTTGGAAAAAGCGTATGATAGAGTGCCGAGAGAGGTTCTAAAGTGGCCATTATTGAGAAAAGGAGTCCCGAAAAGGTACATTAATATAATAGAGGATATGATGGCAGTTATACTAGAGTAAAACGTGTGGGAGGAGTAACAGAAGGTTTTCGGGTAAGAGTAGAAGTGCATCAGGGTTCTACTTTAAGCCCTTACTTATTTTCTATAGTAATGGATGAAATTACTAGAGAAATACAAGGAGAGGTGCCGTGGTACATGTTGTTTGCTGACAATATAGTGTTAAAAGAAGAAAATAGTGAGGAAATTAATCGAAGACTAGAGGCGTGGAAGAAAACCCAACCAAACTCTTGAAGAAAAGGATTTAAGAATAAGTAGTAGTAAGACAGAGTATATAAAGTACGAGATTGATAAAGGAGAACACGAGGTAGGTGAAATAAGGAGATCAGTGACAATAAGCAAGGACATGATTGGAGAGGTGGAAAGTTTCAAGTATTTAGGATCAGTTGTGCAAAAGAGCGGTGGTATTGATGAGAATATAAGACACAGGATTAAGTGCGGGTGGTTGAAGTGGAGAGAAGTGTCTGGTGTCTTATGCGATAAAAGAATTCCAATGAGGCTGAAAGGTAAATTCTAAAAGACTGTAGTGAGACCAGCTATGATGTATGGTTGTCAGAGTGTTGGGCAGTTGATAAGAAAGTAGAGTAGAGAATGAGTTAGCAGAGATGAGAATGCTTAGATGGATGAGTGGAGTGGCTAAAAAAGATAGGATAATGAATGATGAATTGTGGATAAGATGAGAGAAAATAGACTTAGATGGTTTGGTCATGTTATGAGAAGAGAATAATCGGAAGCCGTAAGAACAGTTGTAAGAATGAATGTTGAAGGAAGAAGAGGTAGAGGAAGAGATGGAGAGATGTTATTGAATGTGATATGAAGACATCTGATGTGAGTGTAAATTATGTAGGAGATTGTGTCAAGTTGAAGTTTAGGATAAGGGAGGCCGACCCCAAGTAGTCGAGATTAAGGCGAGAAAGAATAATGCATATTATTTTAGAATTTTGACTCTAGCCTACTCAATTATTACATGTTGTTAAAGTATTAAAACTTCTAACGGTTAATACAATTAAATTCATTGTATGCATGTACGTTTCATTTAATTAGGGACAATTTGTTACTGTTTTACCCTTTCTTACTACTTCAAGAGTCAGAGTATTTTTAACAATATTAACATTATTATCATTCAACTAAGTAATTATAAAACAATGTAGATTTAATTGTCTTACTTAAAACACATATGTTGAGATATGAGACATTGAAATGAGAAGGCTACTTAGAACAAAAAAATTAATTATTTCAGGGAAAACAAAGTAAATACAAATTATAGTAACCTAATAAAAAAATAAAATAAAATATATGTATAACAAATAAATAACATGGAAAAGAATAAGATGTTTTTCACAAGTCAACATGTAATAGACAGTTTATTATTGTTCTGAAAAATTTAATTTTTGTGACTTAAAACTTTTTTTGTATCATTACTTCCTATGTTTTCATATTAAAGATGCATCTATATTTGTAATACTTTAATATGTACTTACTTTCAAGAAGTACAAACCCCTAATAATAATCCTAAATTCATTGAGCGACCATAATAAAAATGTCCAATATTTTTTTTCTTAAATAAATATCACTTTACTTTTAGTAATATTTTCTATAGAATCTAACTTTTGATAACTAGTTATTTATATGTATGTTCATAAACATCACAATTTTTAAGAATCTTTTTCTAAGTTAAAGATAGTCAATAAATTTTTATGAACTCATTGTTTTACCACATTTACTAACAGGATGTTTTATTCAGTGTACAATATTTTTTTCATAGTAACATTTTTACTACTTTTGACTGTTTATGATTATAAGAAAACTAGTCTACTAACAAAATAGTAGTTATTTCAATTAATAAAAGTTATAATTATATATAATAATTAACTAATTAAAAATTTTATTTTTAATTATATATTTATACTTACAAATTTAAGTAGAGTAGTATTTTCACGGAGGGCTCCAATACAACCAGCAAAGCTCACAATAAATATAATCTGCCCAGCAATAATTAAAACTAATGATATATTGAGAATTACATCCGAAAAAGTGTTAAGTTTAATTGATCCCATAGTGTTCCATTTTTCATAAAATGCAAATGTACCAGCAGCCACTAATAATCCACCAAATAACTAAATAGTAATAAATGTTGAAAATTATTAAAAGCATATACAGAATATTTTGATTGCATAAAATAATTACTTACCCAGAATAGAAAATTAAGTAAAAATATCATATATTTTACACAAGGACTAACATATGTAAAGTTACTAACACGTCTTCTATGCATTGCAACAGGCATGTCACACGAATTAATTATTATTAATATCCAATTTTAACTTGACTAACAATAACTAACGGATATTAAATTAACACACATAAGTAGATATTTATTAGAAAAATTTCACCAAGTATAAACTACTTTGAATAATATTACTTTTAGTAATATATTATGAACAAAAAGGTTTTAAAATAATGTACACAAAATAATAGCAATCAATAAAGTAATCTTCAAATTGTTACTCATACAATTAATAATTAGTGGTATAGCAGTTTTAAAAACAAATTTAGATATTTGTCTTCTTTGTATAATTGTAATATTAATAATAATAACAATACTGTTCTTCCTAAAAATATATATGTATCACAATTATAGATAGAATGTTTACGAAGCTTGATTATACAGTAGCAAAGTTTCCTATCAAAATAACATATAAACTCTCTGCATATTAACGCTCCTGGCGGTCGTATGACTAAATCACTCAGAGATCAGTGACAATAAGCAAGGACATGATTGGAGAGGTGGAAAGTTTCAAGTATTTAGGATCAGTTGTGCAAAAGAGCGGTAGTATTGATGAGAATATAAGACACAGGATTAAGTGCGGGTGGTTGAAGTGGAGAGAAGTGTCTGGTGTCTTATGCGATAAAAGAATTCCAATGAGGCTGAAAGGTAAATTCTAAAAGACTGTAGTGAGACCAGCTATGATGTATGGTTGTTAGAGTGTTGGGCGGTTGATAAGAAAGTAGAGTAGAGAATGAGTGTAGCAGAGATGAGAATGCTTAGATGGATGAGTGGAGTGGCTAAAAAAGATAGGATAATGAATGATGAATTGTGGATAAGATGAGAGAAAATAGACTTAGATGGTTTGGTCATGTTATGAGAAGAGAATAATCGGAAGCCGTAAGAACAGTTGTAAGAATGAATGTTGAAGGAAGAAGAGGTAGAGAAAGACCAAAAAAGAGATGGAGAGATGTTATTGTATGCGATATGAGGACAGCTGATGTGAGCGTAGAGGATGTGAGAGATCGTGTTAAGTGGAAGTTTAGGATAAGGGAGGCCGGCCCCAAGTAATGGGGATTAAGGCCAGGAGAAGAAGAAGAAGAAGAAAGTTTTTTCTCATCAAAGATTGATTTTGAAAGTGACTAATAATTTAATTATGACTGAAACGTGTAATTTAATATAATTAAACAGTGCGTGTTTCTTAAATATTTCACTAAGTTATTTATTTAAATTTTTTTGGTTGAAAAAAATAATGTTATTCTAACAGTATGAACGTAATGTATAAATAGAAGTGTTGATTAAATAAAATATCAGTATTATGGACGCAAACAGGGTAGCCTACCGTTATCCTGTATTATGATCGTGACGAGTTTATTAATGTATAATATATTAAAATTTTTAATTAAATTATATAAACAAAATATTGTCATACGTGACATGGTATACTGAAAAAACTGCAGTATAAGTGTATACGAGTTTACGGTTTTTTTTTTTAAATAAATGTATTTACCAAATTCCTCTCAAACCTACGTATGAGCAAAAAGAGACGAGTGCGGAACTGCCTAATGATATACACCGTAAGGCACCAGCATCTATATGCATTTATTAAGGTTACGCCTGGTGCTATCATATTTATTTGTTAGTGTGTAACGAATAAGGATATTTGTGTTAAAATATGGTTAAATGTCCATGAAAATAATTACTGGTGATAACTTATAAATAGAGATCCAACTTCAGCCGCAATGTTATTATTATATACTTTCATATTTAAATCATTGTGGACAAAATGATAACACAAGGGAGTTCATAGAGTTTTTAAACTTGTAAAAACGTTTAATTAGTAATTAAAAACCAGTAATGATGATCGTTTTATGTGGGCTTTGTCGTTATAGTCATTTAAATACTAAAAGAATTAATTTGTCACTCGATATTTAGGTCGACACAATAAATCTTTAAACCATATTGCAGCACACGTTGTAGTCACGTCTAAGTAGTGAGTAGTATATACTCGGTCGTTGGGTGTAGATAATATTTATGGTCATAGACTCCAATTCAAAAATGGAATGTGCAGGGTAGTATCTTCTATCTTACGAGCATATCCGTCTTTATTCCAAATTTATGACAAGGCTCGGCCAGAACAAAACTGCAGAGAGAGGAACTCATGAAGAGAGATTGCTTGATGGGAGATAACGTTGATCACTAAAGTGATCATTCCACGCAGGTGGCATGAGCAAAATATAGAGAATCATTTCTCATTGATACATTTAGTGTATTGAGCAATGATAAAATTGTACCATTAATCAAAACTACTAGCAATTTTAAAACTTAATGATACTTTGAAATAACTGCGAGACAACTTAATTAATCATTAACTAGATAATTAATTTCTACAATTATAGTATACCTGTAATTATAAATAGGTTTTTTTTAGTAACAAAATGTACAATACGCTCCTTTCATACTTTTAAATTCAACTATGTTCACATTATAAAGAATCGTCGTATCTTTGAGATTTTGAACAAAAAAATGATTCCTTATTATGCTTCAATAGTTTCCTATTAAGAGATAATACTTATTATTCATCAATGATTGTAGCCAAAAAAATACTGTCGTTACATTACGGCAGCGCCCGCAATTTGTAGTTAGCAGTATAGAAACATGAAAAATATACCAACGGTTGTTTTTTCATTTCTAATTATAGCGAAACGCACAAAAAAATTAATCATAACTTCCTACTTCTCAAAAATAAGTTTCATTACCACCGTTAATTATCTAGCAAGTTTCGTAACTCAGTAAAGACACAAGGTATCATATGATTTATTTTGTGTTTATATTTTCAGGCATTTTTAACCGAAAGACAAAATAAATATTTTATGCAGATGTCAAATTTACAATTTTTACTATAAAATTTTCAAAATACCCTCAACAATTATTTGAAAATACGCTCCGCATAAGATTTAAATAATTTTGTTACCCAATTGGATTTTAATGATTAAACCGAAAAAAGAACCCATGACTATGTGTTTCACAGATATTGAATGTTAAAAACATAAAACGCACTATGTTTTATTACTTAGAAATAGAGTTATTTATAAAATAAATAACTGATAGAATGTGAATTCAACTATATTTGGAAAAAAATCAGGTTATTAATCCTAAATTAAAATTAAATGTGGTCGGTTATTTGAGAGACAAACTCAAAAACTTGTCCTACTAATATATTTTGATTTAGGTACATGAAACTGTATACGAATTGACAGATATAATTAAGACTATAAAGTATAACTTGTGTAAATAATATTTAAATGAACATATTTTTACAATAATACAAAAACTAAAATTAATTAATTAATATAGCTCCAATTATCTATAGAGTATTATTAATGTTATTACATTAATATTCTAGTATATTAAAAAAAATTACATTCATATTATGGCTTATAATTGAATCCAAAAATAGTAGAGAAAATAAAGAGGATGAACTATAAAAACATATTATTTTTCCTGAATGATTTTAAAACTTATTTCGCAAAATTATAATTTCTGATAGAATCAAAAATGTTTACATTCAAATTTTGTTGAAGTTTTTTCTAAAAGACAATTAATTTTATTTCTTCTTCTTCATATGTATTTCTCAATTTTCAGTAAACACTGACATTCGTTGCATCTATCTTTAAATTAAAAAACCCAGCACAGTGGGTCGCGGCACAGTGGTGACGTGGCATAGTTGGATCAAGTATAATGATATCTGACAGTGATTAAAATCACTATCAAAAATAAACGCTTCGATGCAAATCTTTAGATAGTGTTTAATTTTAAAAAAATTGGTGTTTTATTCCCAAAGCTACTTGATCTGCTGGTTCCTTATTAATATCTCGATTAAGATAAAGTATGTCAAATGAAAAAAGGTTTATTAAAAAATATTATTTCTCATAAAAAAATTGTGTGGATCCATAAACTTTTCAATAAGTTATAACATTATAAAGTTAAATATAATATAAATAATAAAATCGAAAATGTTCACACAAAAATAGCATTCGGTAGCCGTTTTCACCATGAAGACAAGTCCAGAGGTCAAATTTTTTTTTTTCAAATTAAAGTATATTACATTAGCTTTAATTTAAGATATATATAAAAGTGTCAGACCTTCCGGAACATTTTCAAAAGTTAAGTTGAAAAAGTTAATTTTTTGTGAAAAAGTTGTCATTTTAAATCCCCCCCTGTGGGCAGAAAAAAGGTCAAATTTACAAAAAAAATATACTAAATGATAGGTAAAGATNTTTTGTTCTTACGATTTTTTTTTTATTCAATTAAACCGTTTGATTTATTATGGGATAAAAATTGTATTTAAAACAAAAAGTTATTATTATTCACATAACTATTACTATAGTAGCAATCAATACAAATTTTCAACAATGGTATCCGACAATTTACGATAGTTAACTTGCGTAAATAAATATGTGAATATTAATGTGAATCAGTGAAGATGAAATTTTCGTATGCTGGGATAAATTGTCAATAAAATCTAATTCATATAAGAAAATCAAAAAATGAAAACCTTTAGTTTTCTATAAAAAATACCACTACCATAAAAAAGTGAGAAAAAAAAAAAAAAAAAAAAAAAAAAAAAAACACATCATAGTAAAACCAATACCTTCTCAGCTTCGCATCGAAGCTAAAAGTCAATTATTTTAAATAAAAAAATATGAAATGGTTAATTAATTTTTTTATTCAGTAGGGGTTATCTATAGCCAGATGCCCTTCCTTCAAACATGTGTGGCATCCTACAAACAAACAAAAATAACTATATTAGTTAAAACACTTAAGTATAAATACTATAATATAATATTATTATTTTATATATCCCAAAGAAGTATTGTATTCTTTGAAAAAAAAGGTACAATAGTAGGTGCACTTGAGTGTTTCTTATTTAGGTTATTTTTAAAAAACTTTGCTCCTGGAATTTTTATTTTTTCTTCGTGATAATTAAAAATTATTCACAAAATTTTGGGGTCCTATCTTGATTTTTACTGTGGCAGTAAAATATTGAAGTATTCCTATTTATATAAAATGTCTAAATGAACGTTGGAAAAAAAATTGGAAAAATATGAAACATATGTCAATTAATTGGAAAGTTAAGCACTAAAAATATGCTCAAGCAACGTATTTTGCATGCGCAAGGCGTATATGTAGTTAAATGTGGTCAATTTAACGCAAATTTTGTTATTTTTAATTAGCAATTATTTTAACGTATATTATAAGTAGTTTTTAATTAAATTTATCAATAAAATAAAAAGTAATACTATTACTTTGTACAATATATTTGTAG